ATTTCCATATAAAGTTGCTGCCCTTCTATTCAAAACTGAAAACCGCAGGTCTCTAGCTGTTTCCTAGCCGAAGTTATTCAACTTACAACCGACTGCACTGTTCATTGAAATGGATATTAGTACTTCTGATCCACACCAAAATCGTATTAGTAACACCTCTCTACCCTAAAGTTTTTGAATACTTGGACGTTTTAGAAGTTCCAAGGCTTCTATTTCGACGAAGAATTTATAGTACTATAATAACTAGATCGACCTGTTAAATCATTGCATCTCTTCTTTTTCCGTGCGGACACTGATGAAAATTCTCTACTCTAGTAGAACGTTTAACATATTCGAGGCGATACAAAACACTGGCGAATCACATTGTATTTTATGAGAGAAATAATAAAATACCACTGCCCTTATCCTTATTTCTCAACTAGAAAATGACACATATTCTACCACTTGCTACCCCTTCGCCACTGTTTCAATCTTATTTGCTCATATACTCGAATGATTTATATACATCTCATTCGAATCGATTTTTGGACCCGCAATAATTAATATGTACTTGATATACAAGAAAAACTATGCTTCAAGCGATGCAACCATTCTGCAGTTTCGTGAAACCTATGTGCGATTTTTACTCTTTCGTTTGCTATTCGATAAGTTGAAACTTGGTCCGAAACAAAAATCAGTAAATCATTCGAAGCTCCAACTCGCTGATTACAAGCTCGAAGAAAAGAAACGGTTTCTGCGCCTTCTTTGAAAACATTGTGTTGACTGCTTTGAGAAAATCAGGCAACAAAGAAAATAATAACCTTCTGTACAAATTTTGACAAGTTGTTTTGTTTTTCTTGTTTCAATAAGAAGCATCATGTCGTTCAATAAATGATTGAAACAGTGGTGAAGCGAGTGCGAGAATATATATCATTTCTTAGTTGGAACATAAGGGAAAAGGCAGTCATTTTTTATTATTTTTCTCATAAAATACGATTTCACCCAAGAGTGAATCGCCTCGTCTCAAATGTGCTCTTCAACAAATAAATGAATTGCAATGCTAAATGCCACAATAAAAACGATTAAAAAAATAATTTGACTGATTCAAAGATTTCAACTTCTGAAAATTCTTTTCATTACTAATATATCCATCATAATGAATAAGACAGTTGATAAACAATATTTTCGTTCAAAGAGAAATTATTAATTTTATTGTTGTCAAATCATTGATTTGAATCAAATAGTGTTTGAGAAACATAAATCTCATTTAGACTTTTATAAAATAAATAATATTGCGCGCTTTTATCATTTTACTATAAGACCGTCTTGCTTAGTTCAATTCACTTCTCTATTAAGTCATATTGACATGTCTTCTACGTTATTATCTGTTTCATTGATTGTTCATCATTCTCTTCTATTCATTAATTTCATCACTTTTTCATATTCACAAATAAGTACTATTAATAAAGCATGTGCTATAGGTGGTTCTTCTTGTGGTACAGGACAAGCATGTATCAATGGTCTATGTGAATGTGATCCAATGCATAGACGTTTTTGGACAGGTGAACAATACCAATGTCGTGTTTGTCCACCAGATTATATTCGTACGCGTAAGTGAAAAACAAAATCCTTATTTTTGAAAATTTCTTTCCTTTTCATTCAGCAACTCGATGTTATAAATATTTTAAAACATCGAAAAATCACAGTGAAGCACGTGCTGATTGTCGTAATAATCATGCTGATTTATTTTCATGGAGAGATAATACTGATGAAAATGAATTATTAAAAGCATCAGCAGCACATTGGAATTATAATTCTCAATCTGTTAAAAATCAATTTTATTCTTGGAGTGGTGGAATGATTCATCATGGTCAAGGTTAATCATAGACATTGGTTTTATTTGATATTGATTATAAATTTTTATATCAGGTTCAAGAGCAGAATATAAAATAACTTGGTTTGATCCAAAAGGACCAACTATTCCTCATCCAGATACAAATGATCCACTAACGGAACGATATTGTAATGAAATGACGATAGCAAATTATCAAGGAGATCCTGAACCTACTCGACAAATTAAAAATGGCGAAAGAGAAAATTGTGTTACAATTGTTTTTCTTCCTCAACCAAATTCACGTGGACATATTTGTATGGCTGATGATTATTGTTCAACAAGAATGGGTTATATATGTGAATTAAGTAAAAATTATTGATTTATCTTATTGATTATTAATATAACTTTTGTTTATTACTTATATAGCTGAAGCAACATTATCAGGACTGTTTCCAACACGTAAGTATACATAGTATTTTTGTAAGATTAATTATGAGAATCATAATAGTTATTTTGTACGAAAAAATTATTTCTTTTTTTATTAGTTCCAACACCAGATAGAATAGTAGATGATCCTTCAGAGAAACCTTCTGCTATTAGTGAACAAATCAATAATGATTCTGGACAAGAAGAGTTAACTGATGTACTTTCACCATTAGAAGAAAAGAAAGAGTCTAGTCTATTTAATGTATGGATTTATATTGCTGGTGGTATTGTACTCCTTGTAATTATTGTAATTATTGCCTTTATTATTATTCGAAATCGAAAAAACAATTATCCAAATATGAATGTTTCACCAACAAATAGTACAGTTACTTCAGTTATGTCAAACACTGATGTGCATCAAAATGCTTAATATTATCTATCATTTATGAAATTATATGAAATGCATTTAATATAAACGTATCTCTTTGCTCTATTCTTATTATATGTTCTGCTTGTGTTTAATAATAAATATTTGACAAAGGAAACCGAAACTTTTTTCTTTCTATTCCTAAAAAAACTAATCTTTTAAATTTTTATATGCTTAGCGATAATTATATTAACGTTATTTTCGATTGAATCAAACAATCTCATACATCCAATAGAGTTATTCTTGTAACACATACTAGAAAAAAAACACGATATAAAAATAACAGTCGAAGCATAGATAATTAAATTTTGTTAGATGTAAAAAAGATTTTTACATACATAAACGTGACTGATTATCTTAGACATGATTGCTTTTTCAGAAGATGCACCATGAAATTTCCTGTGAAGAAATTTCATTCGTTTTATTTCTATAGAAAGTTCTGGAAGAAGTTGCAATTAATAATACAAAACACATAGAAATAAGTCAACTTCCTGAGTCGAAAAATCGTTCTGCTCTAATGCTTGCATTGAGCTGGGTGATAACAAGAGAGAGAGCGAGTACACATATATGATAGCTCTTGAAAAGTTTTATCAATCCGTATTAATTGAATAAATACGAAAGCATTTCATTGATTACTAATTTTTATTTCCTATTATTATTCGAATGTAATCCTGAAATAACTAAATTCTTACATACTTCATCAATCTAATCATTTAATATTACTTTATATATATATACATATGATACTTTCAAATGTTATATCGTTATAAAGATTCACTGAAATATTCTATCATATGCATAAACGTTCTATAATGAATATCAAATATACTTTTTTTTCAACAAAAAGAAAAACAAATGTGTTTGAAAGCAAGATTCTTTTTTCGGTAAAATAACTTTTTACATGTAATTGATAGTAAATAAAAACTAAAATAGATTAAATACATGTAATAAACTAGAGACATCAATAAATAAAAGATTCTATTTAATTCTTTTATTTTATGTCGGTTTTTTTTACGACAGACCAATTACTTTTTTTGTCGCCCGAATTTCATCATTTTGTGTAATTCAAGACGCTGTCCTTGCTCTCCTTTTTCTATTATTGCATTACAGCCCTAATAAGGTATATCATTTCAAGGTGAATAAAACCTTATCAAACTACAATCTTATCCTTTATTTTGATATTTATTTTTGGTTTTCATTTATGCTTCAGATTTAATAACTTGATCATCGATAATGAATGATAAAACATCAGTACCATTTACTCTCATTTGGCTTAATAATTCTTCAGATAGTCTAGAAAATCTTGAACTTCAACGAAATTTTTCTGCATTTATTAAACATTTAAAAATATATATAAATAAAAATGAATGTGAACAATATATACAATCATCGCCAAAACAACAACGATTTGTTCTTATAACTAGTGGTAAAATCGGTCAAGATTTCATACCACGTATACATCAATTACCACAAATTGTTTCCATATATATTTATTGTATGAATAAAAAAATACATGAAGAATGGTCCAAAGAATATAAAAAAGTAAATAAAGGGAGAATTATTTTCATCTAGTAATAAATGCATTGAAAATGAGATTTCATTAATTATTATTATAAATCCTCAAATTCAGTAACGGATGATTGAAAAGTTGTTGGACAAGATATTCGCTCACTTTTGAATCGCTAGAAAGTATTTTCGATGAGTGAAAATATGTGACCTTGTCTTCTTTTCGAATGTGGGCTTAGGAATGTGGCATCTATTTTTGTTCAAGAGTAGTGAGAGAGCTTTTGAAAGCACTTGAAAAATTATTTTTAATAGTGAGCTAACAACTTTTTCTTTACTCTATAAGTCCTGTTTTCAAACATACTAAAAATTGTTGCTATGTGAAAATTTACTTATGTATAAATCATCTGCTGTGGTACTAATTCACTAAGTATACTCGGATTTATCAAAATACAAAAAAAATCGACAGTGTCCAATACTCAAACAAATATCAACCAGTTTTATGCATCTTCAAAAAATGAATCAGTTATTTCAAATTGTGTCAAGCAGGAAACAAAATATAGCTTATATTAAATCTGCATGACTTGACTGTCGACCATTCAAAACAATTAATGACGTCGATTCTAAAAATCTTGCACAAAAAAAATTTAATAGTGATCAATACTCACCTCTAAGAAACTACGGGTCCACGCTTTTATGAACCAGATCTGGATCTGGAAGGATCCACAGGTTTCTACTAGAGAATGAGAAGTGAATAAACATCTTGTCTGAAGATTTTCCCATCATCCGTTATTCATTAATAAAAGTCAATATAAATGTTGACATATTTTTACTTTTAGGTTAAAAACGTAACTAGTCGAACGGAAGAATTAATTAAGTTAATTCGATTAGAACATGAAAAATACAGTGATAATAAAGTAAAAGAATTACTATCTATTAGTTGTTTTAAAAACAATAATGAACAAGAAGATATTATCAATGGATTTAATGGAGATTTTATTTATAAAAAATGTTTAATTGATTTTCTATTGAAATTCAAAGCAAAAGATAACATAACAGATGATTTTCTTTATTTATGTCAAGAAGAATATGAAGATAATCAAATTGAATTGGACAAGATTTGTCTATTTGAAAAAGATTATTCATCTGATCAAGCTTTATTATGGTTTACAAGAAATAGATTTCTCAGAAAAATTTTAAATAAAGGATTTTATAATGAAAATATAAATTTATTATTTTTTTCAAGATTTTTCATTCATGATCTTCAACAGCAAATAAAACAAACTCAAAGTTCAACATCATTAGATTTTTATCATAGTCAATTTATTTCAATAGATATTTGTAAAAAATTAAAAGATTCTATTGGACATTATATTTTAATAGATTCATTTTTTTCTGCAAGTATTGATAGTGAACAATCACTTTCATATTTTGATTATATTGCAAATTCTGAAAATTTACAACCAATTTTATTTGAGATTAAAACTAATCCATTAGGATCGTTTTGTTATTCGTCAAACCAACAAGAAATATTATTCGGTTTAGGATCAATATTTCATCTTCTAGAAATTCATTCAAATGAAAATCAAATATGGATTATTCGCATGGAATTAGTAGTCATTCGAATATCATGAAGATAAGTTTAAGAACGATTGAATTCATGAAAGAATGAAGCATTTATTAAAGATCAAAATACTGAAATGTGTCAAACGACTAGTCTACGTTATCATGAACCTGAACAAACTCACGGCATTCTACTGACATATTGGATTTACCGGATGTAGTTTATTTAGCTATGTGAATTATAATTACAAGATAACATTGAAATATTGATATTTATCTCTACCAAATAAACTGATAAGAAGATCTGTAATGTTTCTCTTTATGGATACTCTTTCAAAAAAACAAAACACAAGAAGATTCGCTTATTTTTAGACCAATACTTCTGCGACTCCCACTTGATTGATAAAATTACATTATCGAGAATTTCTAATGAGAATAAGATTAAAAGTGTTCTCTTCGCTGATGAATACTTCAAATACTTAATAACGGAGCTCAGTTCAAAGATTGTTCGTTTTTTACTTATCTCTATCAATATGAAGAAACGAAGAATAAGAATAATCCTGATTTTTCAGCAACCGCGCGGTATACGGCGCTGCCTACTGACAGATTCAGTAGCCCGATATCTTTCATACAACTAATATACTAACTGTACCTCTGGACAGAAGGCTGACTTCACGTAGAGTTCATGCACTCAATTGCTAGAACTTCTCGTATACAGTAACTAATCACATACTAGCTACAAGACCAGGCGCATGTCACAATGTAAGCAGTATGCTATCGGATGCGTCATCCGAGACAAATAGCTGTTAGCTACTTGTACTGGATCATTTCGTAGCTGGTGGTACTGAGGTTTGCATACAATACCGTGCGAATACATGTCAAATGATGTAGCCACTCAGTTATGGAGACTCTCCTATTGTAAAATTGGTAAGAACGATAACTTTTTGAGAATTTCATAATGATTATCAATAGACTTTCATAAATATTCATTTTTAGAAGGCGATCGATCACTTAAGCAGTTTGATTGCTTCTTTTCTTTTGGACTTCAGAATAGAACGTTTTTATACTACGTAATTTTTAACCTCTTAGATGTGAGAAGCTCATGTATGGTCAACGGTTCTGAATATGAAAGATCGATCTGTTCATAGAAAGAAAACGATAGGTCCAGGTGAAGAAGTACGGAGCATTTCCGGCCGAAAAACTCGAAAAAATGGTAACAATCTAGAAGTAGGAATCCAATGATCGAATCTGCCTAGTTACAGCCGTTATGACTGAAAATAGAAAAGTTCGGCCACCGAATCCTATCGCCATATTCTTGCTTCCAATGTTGTTCTACTATCTTCCGAAGTCTTTTGACGAAAATTTACCGGAAATTCACGGGTCCGAGCGCCAAAATCATTGAGCTAGGTAGTTAGTTTCATTTGATTCTCGATCTCGACTACGAAATTATCTACATGACCGTTGTGTATTCTAACGTCGAAAAGTTAAAAATTTACTTATGTAATACTTGATTTATTTCTTATGTAATGATAATGATTTGAATTTGAAACCAATAATTGATAAAATAAAACTTGATGATAATTATTGGACAACTGATCTTCTTCTATTAGGAACTATTTTACAGCAAAAAAATAAATATTTTGAGGCTGAACAATTTTATAATCTTTTATTAAATGAATTACCACATGATCATTCGGATATTGATGCATGTTATTATTCATTAGGTATAATTGCTGATGAAAAAGGAAGTTATAAATCAAGTTTAAAATATTATCAATTATCATTAGAAACTTTATTAAGAAAAAATCAATCAAATCATCCTCATTTAGGAACATTATATTATATGATTGGTGAAATTTATCGAAAAAAAGAACAATTTACAGAATCATTCGAATCCTATAATAAAGCATTACAAATATGGAAAGAAACTTTTGATGTTAATCAACCAAAGCTAGCAAAATGTTTAAATAATATTGCGCTTATTTATCGAAGTGAAAAACAATATTTAGAAGCTATTTCTTATTTTACACAAGCATTATCTATTAATGAAAAATATCTACCAATCAATCATATAGACTTAGGAATATTACATCATAATATTGGTGCTTTACATTTATGCCTTGGTAATTATGATGATGCAATAAAACATTATAATATAGCACTTGAAATAAAATATAAATCATGTTCATCTGAACATTCATCTATTGCAATGACACTAGAAAATTTAGGACTTGTCTATGAAAGTAAAGAAAATTTGCAACAAGCTTTATCTTATTATGAGCAAGTAGCAAAAATCCATCGGAAAATATTACCACAAGCACATCCAGATGTAATGCGAATTGATGAAGCTCTCCGAAGAGTATCATCAAAACTTTAATTCTGTTAAAATATACTTTTTATTTTAAATAAATATTTGCCTATGATTTTCTTTTTGCAACTGACAATTCTAATCGTTTGTTCTTTCGATATTGAAACCATTTCGCTCATAACTAGCAGAAAAATATGCTCCTCGTAGACTATCCAGTGACACACCACTATAGACTTTCATTAATAAAATACAATTATAACGTACTGAACTCTTGATGTAATGGACAAATCACAAAACGTTAATCTTTCAGAGAAGCATATATGTTTCGATTCGGTCTCTTGTCTGAATCATGACTCAGAGTCGAAAGTTGAGAGTACTCGTCGACTCAAGTTATTCATCCAAAAAAAAAACAGTTGATAATTCAACATTAAAATCAATTTCAGAAACAGGACGAATATTATAACTAATGATCTTATTTTTTCAAAAACAAAATTTAATATTAATCTCTCAATAAGTTTGCTAGAAAAATCATGTATATTCCTGCTACATCAGCAACAGTTGAACGTTTTAATGAAATCGTATTGTTCAAAAGTTTCATAAACTACTATTTACATTTGAACATATCTCTAATGTAATAAGAAATTAGTTTCAACGTCAGTAAATCTTTTTTTTCTGTAAACAAAATTGATTTGAGGTTTTTTGTTTATAAAAAATTGATGATTTTGTTTACTGTCTTGTGGAACTGTATGAGAAAGAAGAGTTGATTTTATTCTCTGTACTTTATTGGCAAGACTATAGTAGTCTTATGTAGGATTGTTCTTATGTTGTTCTTTAGTAAATAAAAACTAGGAACAAGATATCGTGTCATTAAAAAATTTTTTGCTAATAATCTTTATAGAAAATGAACAGAAAAAACTCGATTAGAAGAGTGGCTTGACTTATCTCACTCTGGAGATTGAACCAGTTCGTGCTTTTTCTGAAACCGAAGCTATCCTTATATTTGTTGATGTGGAAGCAGCTGGTATGTTCTATCCCCTCTCCCCTAATTTTTTTACGTCCCGTCTGCAAAAATATTCAGCTACTGCAAGAGACTGTGCCCAACCAGACACACTGCCTTCGACTGTCTGTCAAACTTTTTAGTCCTATCAGCTTTATCTCTGCTACTTGTCTTCACTTTTCTTTGTTAGAGTATTTAAGGTTGTATCATAATAAATACGCTTGTCGATAGAGTAGAATACATAGAGTCACTATGATGTGAACAATTGCCAGGGAATTGAAATCTATCAACCTCTTATAGTCATAGAAAAATCCATCGTTATCCAATCTAAAGCTTCAAAACTTATACAAATAATTTTTATATAATATAGGAAATTTCTTTTTAGTAGAAATATGACTTCTTCGACTTGATAATATCTTCTATTAATGAATTCAGAATAAAAAAAAAACCCAACACGCAATTTCATTTATGATTTATAATTACCGAAATTTCGATTCAAATATAAAACCAACCATCTCTTTTGCTCTCTCTTTCACTGGTCTATATTCAACTATGAATTACAAACTTAAAACATTGTATTCTCAATTCGGTAATCATGTTAACATTCGGTTCCTGTTATCAAAAATCAGCTTGATGTACTTTGAAATATGTATAAAATTGTTTATGATTAACATAATACAATTGATTCAATAACAAATTATCTGTTAGTATTGTAGAAAATTATGTTTATAATAGAACGGACACTAAACAATCAAATAATTATATCATGTTTATGTTCATATTAATGAAGAAAAGAGCGCATTTGTTTATTTCATCTTTCTAATCTATGTTTATATTAATTGCATTGATCTATACAATATATATTACTATAGTCATTATTGGATTAAATTCAGAAAAAGACAAGAAAAATGTTAATCATAATTATGATTGTGGAATTTCATTGCAAACCAATATAAATTATAGTCTTGGCATTTCAAAAACTATTGACGGTGCATGGCCATGGGTAGCAGTATGTTTTATTCATATATTTCCATTATAATCTTAAATAGTTAACAAATATATATATATATATATAGAGTCTTCGACAAAAAATACCTGGTGCTGAAGCTGTACATTTCTGGTAAAGAGTTTGATATGAATATTGTCAATTTAAATTCTTTTTATTGTTTGTCTTAGTGGAGGTTCAATTATTGCTCCTCGACTTGTATTAACAGCTGCACATTGTTTTCATAATATAACTATTCCAACAGATCCAAATTATACTCGACGCATAGGTGAAGTTCATATTGGTCAACTTGGTTTAACTGAACAAGGCCAACGAATAGCTGAATGGATTAAAGTAATTATTCCTGAAAAATATCTTCCATTTCGACCACATGATTATTCGTAAGTTAATAAAATAAATATATATACCATTAAATTTAGAATAGTATTTATATTTATTAGATAATTCTTATCGTTTATTATTTAGTTATGATATTGCTTTATTAGTTCTTAATAAAGATATTATCGATAATCAACATTCTGTTATTTGTTTACCATCACATAATATTATTAGTAATATTGGAGATTATGGAAGTAATTAATTTTGTGTGATTTATCTATTAGATTTAATAGATTTATATTTTAGCTATTGTTGGATGGGGAATACATAATGAAATTGATACTGAAACATCTAATTATATGATGCAAGTCACTATACCTATTCTTGATCCAACAATTGATGCATGTAATCCATTAATATTACCTCCGAAAAATGCTACAATGACTATATGTGCTGGTGTTTTATCTGGTGGTATTGATGCTTGTCAAGTATGGGAAAAAAATATTATGCTCTATAATTTTTACTATGAAAATGAATTTTTTTTTGTATAGGGTAATTCAGGCGGACCATTTACACAAAAATTTCAAGATCGTTGGTATAATATTGGGTTAGTTTATTTAATTGAATATAAGCTTTTTTTTCAAGTATTATTATTGATTTTGACCTTTTTTTTTTCAATGTTAAAAGTATTATAAAGATATGTTGAAAAACAAAGTGTTCTAAACAAATACTCGAAATTGTAGTGTTTTTACGAGAGAACATTAACAACTGCAATGCATGCTAAAATATCCTTGAGAAAGATTCTTCAATTGAAAATGTCCCTGGTCTTCAATTGTTTTTTTTAGATAGAATGTTACTAGGACATATATAATGCTGTAATATTAACATATTTCGGTTGATATTTAACTTGTTTATATAACGATTGATTTCTATACAAAAATGAATCAAGTAAGAACGAAAAAGGGTATGAGATGTGCCTGTAGCTGAAAAGTCTACGCACATCAATCAACACATCTTTGATACAGAAACAGTTATTATTGTGCAGACAACTCGATATGGTCTATAATCTGAACAAAGAAAAAAAATTTTTGACGAAAAGTTTGCTGGTCCAAAAAAAATTGGCTCTGTAAAAAGTCGATTGCTTATTGTCATATATCGTTGATCGAAGATTAGAATCAATACACATTTATGAACTAATCTGTATGTATTTTATTGGATTTCATAAAAAAATTATACAGAGCGAACCAAAATAGAGTACTTATTCCTTCTTACAATATCATTTCTGGTTTTCTAGATTGTAGTTTTTTGTTCAATTATTTTTGTAATAGATAAAACTTATGAAAATCTACGTAGACAGAAATATTTAGTGAAACACAATCTAAAAGGAGTGTTGAAGTATATAGGATAGAAATTAGGACTCTTTCTCCATAGACCACATATCAATACTTAAGTAAAAAGATAGTAAGGAGATGTGTTCTGACATAGATACTATAAATCAATTTCCTGTAAGTAGCTATAGTAGTTAAATCATGTTTTACATTTGAGTCGTTCATGGATTGCACTAGCTTATTTTAAAAACGTTCCGTCATAAAACTTGAGACAAACAACAATCTATTACATATGAAATCTATGCGAAAATTGTATACTCTCACTAACAGTTACTTTTGAGTTGACATTTGGTTTAAATATCGAGCAGCTGGTATATCTACTAAGGAAAAACCTAAAACAATTAGAGGATTGTTTGTTTCTCAAAGATATTTTCGTTTCGAAGAAATTATTTAATTTTGATACTAATTACTGTTCTATACTTCTTTATTATAATGAAACCAAAATTTATCAATAAATTAGACATATTTATATAGCTATCGAAATACTCTATCGACAACATCCTAAAAGTGATCGTAACGAAAACGAATTTAAAATTAGTACGGTACATCCTTTATGCAAAACATTATGATATATTGCTACTGTACGAATATTTTAATCCGGAATGACCCCTCAATCTTGAAAAGTTTTTGATTTTCTCTAGTGGAGTTTCGACTTCATATCTTTTTCGCTCATTAATTTATAACTTGCAAGACAACGTGGTCAGCTTTATCAAAAATCTTTCGATTGGCCTTCTGAGCCATCTATCTTCCAATCCTGATAGGTATGCACCAGTGCCAGTGCAGAACTGGGGACTGGGGTACCAGTCGGACTGGTACCCAGTGCGACTGGGTGACCCAGTCGCACTGGGTATCTATATAACTCAATGTATTATCAAATAAATAGCGGTACTCTGAGCAAGCGCTTAT